GGTCTTAACTTGACTTAAGAAAAGGGAACAATCTGATATTGAATGAATGAATTATATGTTAGGTTAAAATTACTCTACATTTTTTGCCAAAGGAAAAGACGTCGACTATTCAAATTTTAAAGCTTTTAAGATGTATTTATTTTTTCCTAATAGATCTATATCATATAGAATTTTATTGACTATTCATGTTATTGTTGCATCTGTAAAACAAAAATATTCTAAATTGAAGTTATTAAAGTCCTACAATGATAAAAAACAACTTTATGGATTAACTTTGATAACTATTGAAAATAACATTTTAGATAAAACTCCAAGGTTTTTATTTAAAAATTTGTTTTAACAGATGTTAGAAGGATGACAATTTTTGTCTAGAAGTAATAATTTATTTTTTATTTATTTTCAATGAAAACATTTTAAAACTATATTTTAAAATCAAATAAAAATTCCGGAATATATTTCTTTTTCTTTTTTTGAGGCCAAAATTTAATGAATTGAACAAGTCCTTAAAAAGGCCCTAATCAAATCACATATCCGTTTATCCCTAATTTCCAAAATCTCCTTTGTTGATACACAGTTATACACCACCTAAGTGGTAGTGGTCCTAACGGATCCACGTGTTAATGTCACATACTTGATTTGCTATTGTTACCATTAACTTGTTTTTTATTGGTAAATATTGTTATCAAATATTTTTTTGTGGTCCTAAATTGTTTATTGTTAGTTGTTGGGGTTGTATACACTCTTAGAGAAATCGGACCCAATTTATTTCACGTGTAAATCATTCTTTCCTCGGTCATCACCCAACACAATAAGTAACAAAATATCACGAATGTGCAAAACAATGTGTAAAACATAATTTCAAATTCCATAAATATGTAGGGGTCCACCTTAGACCTTATAAGAAAAAAGAAGTGGTCTATACGTAACATCCACTAACAATCGAAACAACCTACCACACAATCATCAATCATGACCCGTCTCACAAAAGACATCACACGGCGTTTTTTCCATCCTATGACATGGACACTGCGATTTTCATTTTGAGGTTTTAATGTTCGGCCATCTGGAGTGGACGTTATTGTGTGCGTTGTGGCGTGAACACCCTCCCAAAGGTGGTGTGGTGGGCAAGGTCGTAATTCGAACCATGGCTTATAATGTTTCTCTTTGTCTATCTTTCTCTTCTTCACATCTCTATTAAATGTACAACAGTATAGTAAAATGATGTGGAATGATGACTATTTCCTAGGTAGGAAAGTGATGGTGATATGAGTCATGTGACAATAAGATGTGATAATGAGATGACAGGTCAATATTTTTGGAGCGGTCAAGTGGTGATCTTTAAGACTATCCCCATTAGCAACCCAACTCAACCCAATTTTTCTATAAAAAAATAATTTATCTCTCTTCCATCTATACAATCCAATCCAATCTAATTTTTTAACCCATTAGCAATCCAACCCAACCTATTTTATATTAAAATTTTATATTTATAAAACTATATCAATATTGGTCTTATTTTGTAGAGAAAAATAAATTAAGTATTTTGATATATTTTATTTTATTTTTTGTTAAAGATAAAGTTTACTTATTAATAAAAGTTAGTTTTTTTATAAAATTAATTAACTTTTCTCTTAATTAGATATACACTGGTACATGAAGTTTGGTATGCAACCCCAAGCGAGCAGAGGCGTGGCTACGGCCTAGTTCACCAAAGATCGGCAAATTCATAATATTTTAATATTTTTTTTTCACCAACCGTTTGCTAAAAGCCCCCAATGGGGGTGGTCTAAGGAAACATCTTAGATTGGTAAAAAATAACCATTTAATGTTTAATGATTTCAATTTCTTAATGAATAATTTCAACCTCTTAATGATTAAAAAAAATATAAAATTCCTTAAACATTTAGAAAATTTTGATTTGTTCAGAGTTTTTATGAAACACGTTAAATGCTAACCGATTAACAAATGTCATTTAAAGTTAACTAGATGTGTGTCCGCGCATAGCGGTAGTGATAAATGATTTTTTTGGCAAATAATTCTTACGGTGAAATAATTATTAGATTTTATTAGCAGTTATTATATAATAAAAAATTACCACTTTTAAATAAAATATTTATGTTTATATTATTTGTTTATACTACTTATGTAATATAATTAATATTGGTGTTTAGTTTAAGAAATATAAATTAATTTATATATATGAATTTAATATTTTATAATCTTCATTTTGCTCCAAATGAATTTCTTAATTACTTTCCTTAATTCAAGTTTTCAAACTTTTGACAAGTATTAATGGATTATTTATGTATAATTGATTTGTACAAAAACTTTATAACATATACCTTTTAAAATTATGACTAATATGTTTTACGATAAGAAAATTTCCATGTAGAGGATATCCTTTGATGAGTTGTACATTTGTTTAATGTTAAATATTTTTAAGCGATACTCTTACAAGATAATGCATTAGTTCTTATCATAGTTTCAATAAAAAGAAATATAAAAAATGATTCATCAAGCCAACTTAAAATCCATCTAGCAGAGTTATTATGGGTAGTTTAACAATTTTGACGTCATTCCACATAGATCCTTTTACCATTCATTTTTAGGTTATTGTCAGTATTTATATTCAACCAAAACATATAAACAATTATAGATAATTTTTAGTAGTATTAATTTTAATATAGAGTAAACCTAAATTAATATGAAGAAACAAAATATACAGTAGGTGTCTTATACTTTTAGGAATATCTACGCAATTTTACGAATACCCTAGGATGATTCATGATAACTATCAAATTGTTATATGGCTCATTATAAAATATTAATGTTCGTTATTCTTTTTGCGTTGGTTACTAGTCAAAACAAAGTAAATATTAAATATTTAACTACAATAAAGATTTGAGATGTTCATTAAGAACGTCAAAATCATGAAACTTTTTTAAAATTTTATGATATTTTTATATTTGCAATTAGCTATTTTGTACCAACACTATTAATTCATAAATAGCTTTATTAGCTACCAACTATCTTTTTAATTAGTTAGTCGAACATGATCTTAATAAAAAATATAACAAACATAAATATAAAACACAGTTATATAAATATTCATTCTACCGAAACCACATAAGAAACCTGCGTTATGATTACAATATTTCATTTCTTCGTCCTAAATTTAAATATGATCTGCAAATTTATAGTTGACATCGATTAATAATTGAATATTCGTACTAAATGATATATTTTTAAAAACTCTTTATTTATTATATTTATTTATAGAGAAACAATAAATAATGCTGAGACGATGAACACCGACTTTCTTTTAAATACTAATAATTATCAATTGCTACGTCAGATTGTCCGGAAGAGCATCTCCAGTCGTTCAATAAACTAATATCGGATTGTTGCCATTTTTTTTTTTTTGTAGAAACTAACTATATGATTCAATAGAGAAAAAAAAAACTTACATTCACTGTCAATCCGATTAACATTTTAATAATAGAAGATAAAAATATATTATAAATCGATATGTATTGAACTTTTATTTTTCAATAAATTAAAAAGCCTACAAATATCTTCATCAAAAAAAAAATTATAAATGGATATTTTCAAAAAGAATACATTAAAAACCGGAAGTTTTAAACAATTTCAAGAGAAAAACTATAAAAATGGTATTAGTGGTTTATTATTTGTTGAGGAAACTAAAAAACTGGTTAAACTTTTTTTTTTTTTTTTTTTGTTATTGGTTTCTATAGTGATGTGGTCCAAAAAAATTTCAAAGTTGTATGACATTAAAAACAATTTTTTAGTGGATTTGATATTATGATCGACCTAAAATGATATTTAGCATTTAATTATATTTTATAATACGTTTTATTTATATTAATACTTTATTATTGTTAAATATCAAAAGAGTGACGCCAACCCGCCCATTTGAGAGTTGAGACCATATTCCTTCTTTCTCGTCCCTCTCTTTTTTCTACAGACTTCTCACCTCCAACCTAACCATTTAGCTCTGATGACTCATGATCAACCATTGCCATCAATATCATGAACCACCTCCAACTCAACCTTTTGCCCAAAACTCAATTGAAGATTAGAGAAGAGTAAAAAATGAGAAAGGAGCAATCGGTGACATAAATAAAGGGGAAGAGGAGCAAATCGGCGAAAATCCATAAACTTTATTACCAAAATGGATAGAATTTGAATCTTTCAACCTTCATCTTCTCATTTTCTTTTCAAGATGGTATCGGTCAGCCTTCAATCAGAGAGGAAGTATCGTGTGCAATAATATAGAGCAATTAGGATTATTATGGGAGAAACAAGTATACGAGTTGTAACGTACAACAATAGACAATCGATAACCAAAGAACAAGTTCAGAGGCAATGATCGTGATCGAACAAGAACGATTTCAACTAATGAGGATTGCTTATAAAAAGAAATATTGAGTGATTAGTTTTTTAAAAAGTCAATAACTCAAAAAGTGTTTATCAAATTGATAAGTGTTTTTAGAACTAGTATTTTAAACCCTTCAAAAAGGAGCTTTTGAAAAGTCTTATACATCTAAAATAACTATAAAATGATTATAATAAACAATATTAGTAGTTGTTGATACGAATAAGAGAAACTCTCTTATAGCCATTTATGTATGGTTCAATGTACTCTACAGATAGCAAATGCATAGAGTTTATTAGTTGAAGGACAGTGGTTTGACAATGGTTATATATTTATTTTTCTTGATTATGGATGGTTTTTAAGACAGCAGGCGGTGGGGTTGTTCAATGACAGTGATGGTATGAGGGGTGGGGGATAAGGATTTCAATAGTTTGATAAGAAGCAAGCAATTTGGGGTACTACTCGAAAACTTCAAGGAAGGATCCTGATTGGGAAATCTCCATAGTTAAACATGTCTATGCCGATTGTAAATTTGTAATAGAGTACACATGCATCAGAAAACAAGGTTAAGAATTAAGAAACATCAAATCACCTAAACTGAAACCTAAAGTGAGTCACTAGGATGCTTGATAATCCTCTGCAAAACCACAGTCCTAGCTCTCCTTATTTCCCTTATACACTTACTCGAATGCTCACTCAAATCCTCAATTGTTTTTGCAAATACACTCACAGTGTTCTTCATCTCCTCCACCACCATCCCCACCGCATCCTCATCCTCTTCCCTCATGGCAAAATCCGCATTCTGCAACATACCTTCCATTTCAGTCCCCATTTTGTCAACAAGAGCTTTGATGTTATCCAAATCTTTGATCACAATGTAATTCCCGATCTGCATTGCACTCATCATCTCCCTCTGATCTTTGAATTCCCTTTCATACTTTTTCCATAACGAGTTAACCCACTTCCCCATTGATCCTAATGGCACGGCGGCAGCTGCCGCCAGTGCTGTTACCAATGGTGGAGCAGCAACGGCGGCCGCCAATACTGAGCAAATCAGGACTGTGCTAAAGGTGGTCACGAATATCACATTACTCAATCTCCTCCATGTCTTCATTGATTTCAACTTCTTATCCACTTTACCCTTTTGAATTTGCAGTTTCTTTAACATCGTAAGTTGCTTATAGTAAACAGTTTGAAACAATTCGAAGAACTCTACTGAAAACGGACTGTCAAATGCTTTGAATTCTTTGAGTTGCTCTAGGGTATTTAAGTGATTAGTATCTGAATCGTACTGGTTAATTGCAATTTGGAGAAATGATAAGGTAGATCGAGCATTTTTCAGGCAATTCTCAAGAGATGTGCAGAAATCTAGGGTTTGTATGCTCATTTCGAAGTAATCTTCAACCAACGAAAACAATTGGTCATTGTCCCAAATGTCCTTTTTGCATTCAAGTATGACTTTGACTACTTCTTGATTCATATCGAGTAAACTTCCGGTGACTTCACGGAGGGAGTCAAGAGAAAGGGAACGGACCTCAACGCCATCGGCGAGGGTGTTAATTACTCTGCTGGTTCGGTCTTGGAGGGTTGAATCGAAGGACTGAAGCTCCGGATCCGTTCGACAAGCATCTTGGTAGGAGTCTAGATCTGGGTTGTGCTCCGAATTTGACATTGATGAAGATGACGCCGACAACGACGCCGATGCACGATTGTTGGTTGAATTTGTGCTAAAAATACAACCCATCAGAATCAGAAGCAGATTGTGGGGTTTACACCCAAAATGCTTGAAACTGGAATAGAAGAGTGGGGAGCAAGCCTGGAAGATCTTTTATCAGTCAAAGATTACATAAGCTTTGTTTTGCCTTCGGATAGAAAGCTCAAAAGCGTGATTTTAAATATTTCTATATATGTACTTTTCTTATTACACACATCAAACTATTTTGGCATCATAATTCTTTTTTATATGTTATAAAACAATCGATGCTTCCGATTGATATTTAAACTCAATAATGTTTGAGTTAAATATTCTACAGTAATGCTTAAGAAAAATGTAAATCTTACATATTTTTCATAACTAGTTGATTGCCCGTCTTGCGTTGCGGCGGGGCCTAGTTTAAAACCAAGGTGATCAATGTAATATTTTCAAAGTTGAGGGATAATAATTGTCGGTGGATGGGATAAACATGAAAGTTTAGAAAGTCGGGAATGTGAAAATGACATTTTACATAATTCAAAGTTGATCGAGTCAAAGTGATATTTTACAAACTTAAGGGTGGTAACCGTAAGAAAATCATATTATATATACTATGGGGTAAGCACGAAAATTTAGAAAATGGAAGTAGAAAAAGTGAAATTTTAGAAAGTTCAAAGTGTAAAAGGTGAAAGTAACATTTTATAAATTAGTATGTCGGGCTAACTTCAAAGCCGATAAGATCAAAGTTACATTTTACAAAGTTGAGGGATGATGATTGTCGGTGAACAGGGCAAACACGAAAGTTTAGAAAGTTGAGGAAATGAAATTAATATTTACAAAGTTCAAAGTCAATAGGTGAAAGTGATATTTTATAAAGCTGAGAGATGGTCATGGTAAGAAAATATAATATACCACACAGTGTTAAAATACCAAAGTTTAGAAAAAAATGAATGAAAGTAATATTTTAAAAAGTTCAAAATCAATGGATGAAAATAATACTTTATAAAATAAAAAAAATATATATATTATTATATAAAATAAAATAGTACAAAAAGTTAATAAAAACATCCACAAACCTTGCAAATTAATAGTATATAAGTTAATTAGTTTTTTTTTAAATATTCTAATATTGTAGTTGACAATTATTTTTGGTCGGAAATTTTTGATTTTATAAAATGAATGTTTTTTGATCAATGATATTTATACTTTTATTACGAATTTGTCATTACTATCTCCTATGCTAAGGCTAAGCGGAGTGGAGGTCGCCACCGGCCTCGCTACGCTCGCTAGCCACCTTGAAACACCGCCCCCTAGCACTCGTTAAGGGGGTTGCTACCGGGCACTCGTCGTTGTTTTGGCGAGAAGAGAGAGAAACAACAACGCATTGTGATTGGTTGGAAGAAGACGAAGCGGAAATCGATTTTGGTGTTATTTTGCTTTTTTTTTTTTGCTTTTGATCTGGGTTTGCGCTTGATGCTCTCCAATACCAACAAAATCGTAGAGGCTCGCCAGTTGATCGGTTCACTCTTCGTCTAAGCTCCTTCTCCAAAAAAGAGAAAAACATCCATTGATGCTCCCGCTCCAAAATAATCAATTCTGAACCAGCAACTCAAGAAATTGGCATCTACGGATGTCTGAACCAACAACTCAAGAATGTGTCAATTGAGAATGTCTCGATGTCAAGTATGAATTTGTCGACTAAGAATTGAGGTACACATGACTCATTACACAATCTATTTGTAATTATGTATAGTTTTATATGGTGTTGTTTCTGTTTTTCTTTCAAGATCAATATAGACGACCTTGCGGAACATTGATAGGCACACACATGTTGTACAAATGCTAACCGATTTTCTGTTTTTTGTTCTTGGGAGTTTGATTTCTTATATTTTGTTGTTTTACCCCAAACTGTGTAGAACATAAAAATTGCAAGTACTCTTTATTTTTGTATGAACACCAAGTGTTCAATAAAATTCCTCAATGAAAAACTTCCTCCAGTTTTGGGCTCCTCTCCTTGTTTACACTTATAAAATCAAATGCATATCTGGTTTTTATTGAATTTGTAAACGAATATTATTTATGTGATTGTTAAAACTTTGAACTCAATCTTTTCAGAGCATACTCTGTGATTTGCAATGAATGAACGTACATTTTTATTTTTCTTTGCTTTGTATATGACAAATCCAAGAAGGTAAGAGCAATGCTAAATGCAATTAGCACCTAAAATTCTTCATGGCATACTTTTTGTTTTCTTGAAATAGGAATGAAAAATAAAAGATGTAATTTACTGAATTTTAGTCTCTGATTGGAACTTTTGACAAGTTAGTAGTTATGAGTTTTAACCTTATATTAATCATTAATTGTAACATTATTAAATTCGTTTTACGCCTTTGAGGTAATTTCAAGATCTTGAATTTGAATTGGTTTTAGGTATATACGAAGTATTTGGGTAGAAACAAGAATAGCTTCTCAGGCACTGTTATGACTGCAAATTAAAAAAGGGATTGAGCCAAACACTAGTTGGGGCTAATGTATGACTGCAAATGCAGGAACTTTATTTGCATATGGTGTAACAAGCCGTGGGAAGACACATACTATGCATGTAAGCATAGTTTTTTTTTATGTGATATTAATGAACTGTAATGATCTTGATTGGTATTTACAATTTCAAATTGCATTTATGATGGCAGTTAAGTAAGAATATAGTATGTGTAATCCATTGTTGGAGGAGTTTAATTAATATGGATAATGGAGTAATAGTTGCTCTGTATCTTAAAAAAGATATGATTGGAGCTTGTTGTATATATTATATAGTAATTATTAATTGGGGTTTTAAGCATTCATACCCTCCAAGGGAAATGACGATATCAACTATCAAGGGTAGTTTCCAAAATGAACGAGGGCATTTTCGGCATAAAAGCAAAGTTTTCCATGTTGTTCAAAATCCCAAATGTGAGAGATGGTTTGACTTTAACAAAAGTCAAAAGAGGTTTTGAAATGTGTGGCATTGTTCTTAGATATACAATCAAATTTGAATATTCTCGCATTAGTGGTATTTTGTTTCATTCCAAAAAAAAATCTGAAAGAAATTTGGAGCTACCGTATTTCTTTCAAATCTAAAAAAGAGTAATTTATTTGAATGTTGGTTGATTATTTATAAAGTAATTTAATTAAATTAGAAAAAGAAAATAAAAAATAAAATAAAAATAAAGTGTTAGGTGTGTTACCACTCCTTACCAAATGCTAAGATTAGATGCTAAAAGGTAAAAAAATGAGGTGACATTCCAAAATCTGATGTGGCAAGGTGTTAAGAGTGTTACCACTCCCCTTAGCCTAATAAAACAGCATCATCAAGCCACGTGTTATTAGCTCCACCCACACCAACCAGTTTTTTCCTGCTCAATTTTTGTAAGTGTAATTCCAAAAATGCCCCTAATCCTTTTAATATTGAATGTCCAGTATATTCCGTTCTTTTCACATTTAATCTATCCAAATCAAATCCCTAATTTTCAACAACTTAACTATTATTGTGATCTAATTTGTAAATTTGAATTCGAAATAATTCAAATAACGTAACACTAATCCTAAAAAATCAAGTCTTAATAATGATTTTTTTTTTTAAAAAATAGTTATATAGATCAATACATATCGATTGAAGGCAAACGGACGACAAGCTGCGCCGCTAGCCCTTTCTGGATGGCAAAACCAATTCTTTTGAAAACAACATTTGTGGATCTAGGAGATATGGCATTAGAATGCATGACCCGTTGGACTCTATTGAGGAGCTCCACCACCTTTGGTGCGAGAAAACCAAATGTATCGAATGCAAAAGGTACAAACACATGTTGATTTTCTATACATGCATTCTCGTGCTTTACCACTTTGCACGCAGCGGCTTTCAAAGCGGCATGCCCAGCTGTGAAACCCCCGCTCCCCAAACCAACGAGAGGAGAGACCCGAGTAAGATCCACGCACGCATGCTTCCTTCCTATCCATCCGGTAAATCCGTGGTTTCCATCCATAATAACAATCTGACTGATTTTCCTGCAATATAGAGTAAAAACATTAAAAATATTAACACAATATCCCATAAAATAAGAAGTCCAGTTTCGGATATTATCATCCATCCTATTTTTCAATCCGCGTTTTCTGAAAATATATATACACATTCATTGTTTGCTTCCTATGTTCAATTCCTGGAAGACCCTACATATCTCCTTTTTCCTTTTTTTTTCACCATTTTTCATTATTTTGTTCACTACTTCATTTCTTTATTTGTTTATTCATCTATAATTCAAAAACGGTTTTATGTCTTACTCTACATTTCGAATACAACATTGTCTTTCAGTAATTGTACTTTCATTCACGTATACTGCACACACAGCAATAATTATTATGTACAAATTGTTTTTTGAAAAAAATAGATGCAACATTGTACTTTCATTCGGTTCTTTTGTTAATTTTTTTATAAACTGATGTTTTAGTCTCATGTCCTACGGTCCATGATAAGATTGCTAATTTTGAAATAAAACTTATGGACATTGATAGAGAGTGTAACACCCCGGTTATTAGATAAATAAATAGACAAAGATTAATAAATGAATAGTAGCCCTAAATCCGTAAAAAGTTATCAGTGTTTTTCAAAAATTGAAGTCAAGGGGATTAAAAGGTAATTCTCGGATTAGTTTTGCAAATAAATTGTAGAGGAGGGGTTGTTTGGTAACTGTTGGACTTATACTGAAAATAATTATAAGACGGGGGGTTTAAAGGGTAAATATTGGAGCGAATTTGAAATAATTTCATAAGGGAGTGACCCTTGTTGTCATTATGGGGTGAAGTTTCATAGGGCTCGGGGTATAAGACCCGTCACCCCGGTAACCCTAACCCTAACTCAAGAGTGCAGCCGCCATCATCGGAAGTCGTCCAGCCGCCACCATCTTTACCGTCGACGGACGTCGGTGTTGCCGGGAAGAACCACTGAGACCGACGCTGCTATTGGGAAGGACTGGTCGAAGGTGCTGTGGTTGGGTCTCGGTGTTGCCATCGCCGCC